ATGGATGGCGAATGGACGGACGCAAGAAGAAGGAGATGGAAGCAACTATCGATGGGTGGAGATCGCCCGAGATGGAATCATTCCGGTGTCACGTCGATGTTCGTATCAAATCTTCCACCGGAAGTAAATATGGAAACCCTGAAAAATGTGTTTTCTAAACATGGTGAAGTGGTGGATGTATACATGGCATTAAAGAAGGATGTGAACCGAAAAACTTTCTCTTTTGTAAGATTCAAAAGAGTGGATGACGAAATTGAATTGGAAAGAGCCCTACAAGGAATAAAGATTGGCACCAGAATGCAAGATGTAAGCATTGCAAGGTTCGAAAGGAAACTTAAGTAGGAACCATAATCAATTCCCTAAGGTGAAAACATTCATGACCAGGGACAACAAATCATTTGCTGAAGTTGTGGCTGGTAGTAGTAAGCCTTCTGGTATTCCAACACTTCCTCCTAAGATGAAATTTGTCCCTATTAAACTATCTGATGCCTCCCCACTTTGTGGTTGGGTCAAATGTAAACATACCCATATTGATGAACTGCATGCTTTTGATCACTGAGAGAAGGCCCAATACTCTTTTAAAAATTGTGATGGCTTCGACTGTGACGTAAAATACCTTAGAGGGTTGAAAATTGGGGTCAAGTTCATGAATGACGAAAGCATTGATGCCTTTTTGAAAGGATGGACGGAATGGTTTAGCAGAGTTGATAGTGGTGACATAGCGACAATCAATGCTGATAGAATAACATGGATAAAAGTTTCGGGCCTCCCTCTGGAACTGTGGTCCGAGGAGAATTTCATGACGATTGCTGAATCTGTTGGTAAAGTAATTGCTCCGTGAGAGGTGGACCAATCAATGGTAAATTTGTCCTTCGGTAAAGTGATTGAATCCTTATCAACTGTATCCAAAGACCTTCACGTTGAAGTTAATGGGAAAATCACTAAAATCAGAATTGATGAAGTCGATACAGATTGGGTTCCATTCAAATATTCAGCTGAGGATTCCACTTCTGATGAGGAGGATGATAATGAAGAGGAAGATGATAGTAAGGATTATATTTCTGATACGGTCCTATTGGATAACAATAATGATGAAGAGTTGGAGGATGGGGAATTCATAATTCCAGAAGTTGATGCAGTTAATGGTTCTGTCATGAATAATGAAAACTCGTATGATAAGATCTGATCACCGGAGGTGACGTCATCACCGATGAATGTGGAAATGCATGAAGATGACTTAGAAGAAAGAAATGAAACGTTTGAGGAAGCCCAAGAGGCAGGCATAGGTGTATTCATGAATGAGAATGAACAGGTGGAAACTGAAGGACAAAATAATTATGAAAACAACAATAATGAGGAGAATGATGAAACATTGAATAATCCCCCGAATTTCAATGTGGAAAAAAAACAATATGGGGCCACTAGGAGTAACTAATGGACTCTTACATAATCTAGCAGTATCTGGTTGCTTTGGGCCATTTCCAAATCATACGAGCCTTAATGAAAATCAGATGGATGCCTTGTTTGGAGGAGCCCATGACAAACGAAGAAGGCTTGCAAGATACCCAGTTGAAGTCCCAATTTCATCCTCCCCTAATCAAAATTTAACCTTAACCAATAACCAATTCCTACTCAAGTTCCTCTCCCAGATTCTGATATTGATTCCCCATCCCCTTCGATGGAGGTCAGAAACACAGTTGTAATTAGAAAGATGTCGGACTTTGATGTGGATGAGGAAAATACAGTGCTCAAAGAGTTATTTAGTGATGAAGGTGAGAACCACGATCCAAGATGAACATAATGTCTCATAATACTAGAGGCATCGGAGAGAAGCATAAAATCGATTGGGTCCGGAGATCACGTTATGAGAACAGATTATGCATGGTGGGTATTCAAGAATCAAAATTGGGAGAATCCTCACTTCCTCTCAATGCCGAGAACTGTTGGGGAGATTCAGACTTTGGCTTTGAGCAAGTGTTTACAACTGGAAGATCTGGTGGTATCGTTTCTGTATGGGATATTAAAATGAATTCAGTGACGAAATCTATCAAGTCTAGATATTTCATCGTGACATTAGGGAATTTCATTGGTATTAATGGTCTAACTGGTATTATCAACGCATATGGACCTAAATAGGACACTGAAAAAGCTAAAGTATGGGGAGATTTATTAGCACTAAAACAATCCAAATCCGCAACTTGGATCATAATGGGAGATTTTAACGTGGTTCGCAAACCTAATGAAAGAATCAACTTGATATTTTTCCCCCGAAGTGCGAATGACTTCAACGAACTCATTCGTAATGGCGAGTTCACTGATCTGAGGATGGGCAGTCAAAAATTCATGTATTTCAATACCCAGGGGGAAAAACTAAGTAAGCTAGATCAATTTGCAATGATTTTTTATAAGCTTTTCCACTTGCTTCTTGTTTTGCGATGGAGAGAGACTTATTTGACCATTTAAGAGCTTGTTGTGATGATTTTGGCCCACCTAATTTCAAATTATTTAATTCATGGATTCTGAAAGAAGGATTTGACGAGACTGTCAGGAAAGCTTGTGTTGAATTTGTGGGTTATGGAAACCCCGATATAATGTTCCTTAACATACTCAAGCAGTTAAAAAAAGCCATAAGATGTTGGAAATCTAATGCAATGAAGGAGGAAAACAAAGAAACGGAAGAACTAAAAAAGAGAATGGTTGAACTTGAATTGGTGCAGAATTGAGACGCTTAACAACAACGGAGTTAGAAGAAAGAGCATTCGGTGGTGATAAGTTAGGTGGACTTGCTAGAACCACAACATTAAACTTAAAGTAAAGAGCTAGACTAAAATGGGAGGTGGAATGTGATGAGAATTCATGATTCTTTCATGGATATGTGAACAATAGGAACCAGAAAAATCATATTCATGGAATTAAGGCTAACGGTAGGTGGACAATGGACCCAACTGAAATAAAGCAAGATGCAGTCAAGTTCTTTGAGAATAAGTTTTATGAAGCTTAGCCTAATCGGCCCAATTCCATAATTTTGGATTCAGAAAGCTATTAAAAGGCGATGCTAGATTCCTTGAAGCGAAGATTACACTCACATAAATAAATAATGCAATATGGTCGTGTGGTGGGGACAAGTCTCCCGGGCCTGACGATTTTACATTCAATTTTTTTCAAAAATGGGAATTGTTAAAAGATGACATCTTGGAGTTTGTGAAACACTTTGAAGGGTTGAAAATCTTCATTTATTTCACTTGCAGCGAAATCTAAAGATTAAATTGACTTTGGAGACTTCAAGTCGATAAGTCTAATTTGTGACAACCATTAATTTCTGGTCAAGTCAAAGTCAAATAAAGGCAACAAGTAAAACCAATCAACTCCGTTAACCCTTGTTTATGAGGGTTTACAATATGTTAGCTACGACACAACTCGCTATTTTGATAAGAAATTATCACTTAGAAAGTTCGTATGATCGAAATTTCCTAAACCCTAAACGGGGTAAGTGGGGAAACAAAACGATAGAACACTAGGGCATACCCTTCGGGGGTGCGTAAGACTCTTAAACATGGCTTAACGGGGTTTACAAACCTTGCCTTACGAAGTTAAACACTCACAAAGGTCGTAAAGACAGTCTCTCTCAATCTCTCTTTATAAAACTCTCTCTATCTGAAGTCTCTCCCAAATCTCTCTAAGCATGTGAAATCTCTCAAAGAATGTGAAATCTCTCCCAGATCTCTTCAAGTATGTGAAATCTCTCCCAAATCTCCCTAAGCATGTGAAATCTCTCCCAAATCTCTCTAAGCATGTGAAATCTCTCCAAGTATGCGAAATCTCCCCCAAATCTCTCTCAAAATCTCTCTCAAACTTTTTTATAACACTCGGTGCATCCCGACCCTTAACTTGGTCAAAAATCACTCAAAACGGGAAGAAATCACGAAAAACAGCCTCTTAGAGTCGAACCCTCTTAGGAGCCGAACTTGTCAGAACCGAACCTCGCAGACAACAGCCAAGACCGAGCCTCGCTTTCGTTTCCCCCTCTCGCACCTTCAGTTCCCTCTTCGCACCTTCGGTTCTCAGCACTTCCAAGAACCGAACCTCGCAGGTTTGGTCCATATTGTCCGGTTTTCGACTACTTTCGCCTCCTAAGCCCGTTTTTGACATTTTTGATGTGAAATTTTCACCAAAAATCATATTTTAACATATAAGACCCTAAATATTCATAATTTAAACACATTTTAGGGAAATCTTTATCTAGGAATAAAATCTTGTGGGTGAGATATTTGAGGTGGAGTGTTGACTTTACCTTAGTGTGTAACACAAGCAACCTCCCACACCCACTCCATGGCTATACCCAGCCACTACTCATCACTATTCGGTTAATCATTGTCCTTTTTACACTCATTTATCCAGCCATACTCTAGAACAAAAAGTTGGAAGTCCTATCTCTCCTCCTATTTCATTCATTCTCCACCAAAAAGCAAGACCCATTGCTCTCTCACTATCTCTCTTTAAAATTCGAGATTCAAAGGTTGATATTGGGTTTTTCCTCCACATTTGGTAAGTATCTTTCTCCTACACATGAATATTCTACTATCCTTCATCCAAATTATGGATTTCTTACACAAACATCATCATATTTGTTCATAGAACCTTCAAATCTTCAAGCATCTCCCAAGTGTTCTTGACTTGGAAACTTCTTTTCTTCATCATCCATCTCCTGAAATCAGTCAAGGTGAGTTCATACCCCTATCTTTTCATGTTTTTCTTAAGTTTTAAGAAGGGGGGGGGGGGTAATACAAGTTAAAACACCAAGAAAACAACTAAACTCAAACATCAGCTTTCAACAGAAAAGTTAATGTTCATTCACGGACTATTTTGAACACCTTAAAATTTTTAGTATTTGAAACTGTATTGGATGCAAATAGATCAGGTTTATACCTTTAATATAACTACGTGCACATATTCACACGATTTTTCTACAATTTTTGATGATTTTTACAAAACTGTCTATCCATGTAACTACGAATTCGGACCAGTTTGTGAATATGAACGTTTTCACACCAGTTAGAGACCTCTAAAAATCATAATAAAATTTATGAGCAAACTAGACACATTTTCTAAACTCCCAGAGTTTACGAATTTAGTTTTCGACTCCGTATGATTTTTCTATAATTATTCCAAGAACAGGAACGGAAGTGATAAAACTAGCAAATTGTTAATAACTCATTTACACCTTGTAAGTCTCTCAGCAAGGTGTGTATATGCATATATAAATACATGTTGGTTGTGTTACATGTCTATTACCTCATTATAAAGTTTTACATCATATACAAAGAGGATTTACACCATTACAAAATGTTTTGATAAGCTATAATAGGTATAGTTTATGTTTCTAGTAACACAACAAACACATTTCGGAAGGTTATATTCCCACAGAAAAAGGTTTTACACTCACGCACACTACACGTAAACTTGTTAACGTAAATTGTGAGACATTTTTCGCAGTACTCCTAGAGTACAGGTTAAAATTCCTGGTAGTTATAACCATAGTCTCTTGTAGGGAGAACGTGATAGTTATGTATAGATCTATATTGGGTTTGACAAACCCACACGTTAGTTGCATGCAACAGCTAGATCGGTAGGTTTGGGGTGACAAATATCATTTAACTTTTTCGACGCCTAAGAAACGTCGTGGCAGGTTCATTAGTCATAGTATGGTTATAGCGACTCACATAGGGTGTTAACAACACATAAAGTTTACGGGGATTTTCTCAAACTAAAAAGTGTTTTATGCCGATTTAACATCACTTTTTGTATCAATAAGTATGGATATTACTTATACACTTTCGGTATTGAAATTAAGGACTACGCATCACTTTTGTAAGTTATGTCGATTTAAACTTGCATGATTCATAGTTTTAAATGGAAAAGTACTAGCACACTACTAGTCTTGACATTTTAGATTACAATACATTTTAGAAGGAAAACATTGGATTTTCCTGGAACCAACACTACTTTTAAAATAAAGGATTTCAACATTTCATTCAAAAAGCATATGAACTCACCAACTTAATTGTTGACATTTTTTTTAAAACTACTTGTATTCTTAGGAATTCAACGAAACCAGGTAACCACAAGCTTTTGAGGATGGAACGCTACGGCGTTGAACAACTATTTTTACATCATGTTGTATTCAAT